TGAGTATATATGGTTTCAGAACTGACCAATCTGCACTGGACAAACAATAAGGGGGCTCAACTCTGGCACAGGCTAATTATCCTCTCTGCAGTCAATAGTTGCCTGTAGTTCTTTGTCTAGGGGTGAGACCCCATGACATTTCCCCACTTGCATGTTAAACTGTCCGTTGATATTGCCACTGTTCTGGTCTCATTTATGCAGCCATTTTTAAGAAAGGCTGTTTCACAGCAGACTTCCTGGTATTCCAACTGTTACAATCTATTGTCCCCATCATCCACAGTATTCCCTGAGGTATAGATACAGGAGCTTTGATGCAGATGTATCCATAGGACTGAACTCCCCATGATTTACAGAAGTTCTTAGCTCTCCCGATTTTCAATGGGCCACATGTGTGTCTGGATTTGAATGTTATTCTGGTCCTACTGTACATGCCCTTAGAATAGTACATTTCTTGAACTTTTGTTTTCCTGCTAGTAAACAAACAGAATAGTAATTTTTACTTCACAGGGTCATTTTGAGGATTGAATACAATCCTGTGATTGGATGCCTGTTTATTCTGTAAATAACTTCAGCTACCAGATTTATAATGTTTGTTGCTTCAGATATGGATATGTATATATATGTATGTATATTAATTTACATAATCACAAGGACCCTGTGAAATAGATTTATTATTAACCTCACGATGTAGATGAAGAAACTGAAACAGACATAGGTTAATACGTCCAAAGTCACATAGCTGTGGAGTGACAAAGCCAGAATTTGAAGAATGGCTGTTTCTTTTTTTTTCTTTTTTCTTTTGTTTTTTTTTTCGAGACAGGGTTTCTCTGTGGCTTTGGAGGCTGTCCTGGAACTCGCTTGGTAGTCCAGGCTGGTCTCGAACTCACAGAGATCCGCCTGCCTCTGCCTCCCAAGTGCTGGGATTAAAGGCGTGCGCCACCAACGCCCGGCTTCGAATGGCTGTTTCTTACCTTTTACCAAGTGTTCTTTTTAAAGAAGATAATTATATAAAATAAAGATTTAAAAAGCATTAATTTAATGAAACATTTGGACAATAGTATGTCTAAAACTAAACTCTTAAAACAACAGTGGATATTTGAGAGTGATTTAAGTGAACAGAAACAACAGTAGAAGTAATAATCCTGAGTTTGCCACTACAGCATAGCAGATCCTATATGACTCTGAAAAAACTCTGACCTGTTACTACTGTTCAATAAATATCCATACTTGCTATTGTGATTTGTAGCTCACTATATAGTAGGAGTAACAGAGTATGCACACAAACAACAAGATACAAATTAGAACACAAAGAAGGATTAAGAGACAGGAGAATTCAGGGCATCTGAGGCTGGGGAGTTAGATGTTGCTGACAAACAGGCAGTTAGTCCACAAGCATAGAAAAAGAATCGGCTCTGCAAAGGGCAGAACAGAAAGTGGGGCTCAGTTCTGAGGCTAAGGTACAGAGACAGGGAAATGACTCTGTTTTGGGAATCACTATTTCATTTTGATTGTGAAAATTACATGAGACATGAAATGAGTAAATTAGGAAATGTTCAGATTTAAGGAAAAACACATGTGAAAGATAAACAACTATTTTGAACATCATTCTAGGAGTCCATGGAGTCGTTTGAGACTTTTCAAAATGCTTTAATATCAGCAATGAAGTCAACTTCAAGAAAATTAACCTAGCAGCCAATGGGGGAATGAATTAGAGATAAGGGCATCACAGGCAGGCATTGTTTTGACTAGTTATTGGGATCTCCAGTCAACACTGATGGAAACACATAGGGAACATTTTCTCCTGAGTCAAGGGGGAAAAGTTCAGAAAATCGTGTACTGAAACATACTCATTAAATTCTTCCTGTAGGAGAAGCACTTTGGTGAATTGACCTGGATTTAGTAACTGTTGTTAAAACTCCCCCAGTTACACATGCTATGCAAATTATCCTTGACAAACAAGTTAACCCTCTTCAGGAAACACTTTGAGCTGTGAAATCAAAGGATAGACTCTCCTCACAGGGATGGACAATAAACAAGCTTGCTCATTCACAGTCCTAGCCTGTACTAAAATCCTGTGGCCAGTAGATGGCGATTGCAAGCTTTTGACCAGGCAACAAGTAAAACACTGAACTGAACTCCTGGAACCCAGTGACTGAGAGAGAGATTGGAATGATGAGCAAAGGGGTCAAGACCCGGCTGGTGAAACCCACAGAAACCCCTGACATGAACAAGGGGGAGCTCTTGCACCTCCGATTGATGGGTGGAAGGCCAGAATGGGACTGATCCAGACCATGTGACTGTGGGTGTCAACGAGGAGTCCTGGACAATCTGTGGGGCCTTAGGCAGTGGATCGTTGTTTGTCCCTGGCATACAGATGGATTTTGGGTGTCCCTTCCACAGTGAAGGATGCTCTCTCAGCCTGATCTCTTAGGGAAGGGCCTGGCCCTGCCCTGGACGAAATGGCAGACTCTGGGGATCCCACACAGAGGGCCTCATCCACCTTGGGGAATGGAGTGGGGATTGGCATAAGCCTATAATTATAGTGCTTGGGAGAGTGAGGCAAGAAGTTTATGAGTTTGAGGACACTCTTCCCTACAAAGTGTTGCTGTATAGTGAGACACTTTCTCAAAACTTAAATCTTAATTATTATTTAAAATTATAAATTTAATTTAGGGCTGGAGAGATGGCTCAGCGGTTAAGAGCACTGACTGTTCTTCCAGAGGTCCTGAGTTCATTTCCCAGCAACCACATGGTGGCTCACAACTACCTTGAATGAGATCTGGTACCCTCTGATGGCCTGCAGGCAGAAGACTGTATACACAATAAGTAAATAAAATATTTTTAAAAAAATAAATTTAAATTTAAATAAAATTTGTTAATTTAAAAAATTAAAGCAGGGCTAGAAAGCTGGCTCAGTGGTCATAACTAATTAACTGCTTTGCCCCATGATCTGTTTTTACTTTCCGGGTTTCTGTGGTTACTCCAGGTTATATACTCACATCCGAAGATTTAAAAGTATAGCCAGAGATGAGAGAGAGCATGTGGTATTCATCTTTCTGAGTCTGGATTACCTCACCCATTATCATATCCATTTACCTGAAAATTACAAGACTTCATCTTTACATCAGGTTTGCTTGTTTACTTGACTCTGTATTCTGGATATAAATCTTCTATCAGATATGGAGCTGGAAATTATTCTTTCACACTCCGTGGTCTTCCTCTTTACCCAACTGATTGTTTCCTTTGCTGTACAGAAACTCTTCAGTTTTATGAGGTCCCATTTGTCAACTGTGGCCCTTAATTATTATCTGAGAGAGTCCTTTCCTGTGCCTATATTTTATAGGACTCTACCTATTTCTTTTTCTTCTCTCAGTTTCAGAATTTCAGGTGTCACTTTGAGGTCTTTGATACACTGAAAGTTTTTGTGCACAGTAACAGATATGTGTTATTCATTCTACTTGTAGACATCCAGTTTTCCTAGCATCATTTGTTTAGGTGGCTGTCTCTCCTCCAGTGTATGTTTTTGGCGTCTTTGTTGAATATTACATGAGTGGAATTATGTTCATTTAAAACTGAGTCTTCTGTTCTATTGAACAACAGGTCTGTTCTGTGCTTTTATTACTATAACTCTGTAATATAACTGGAAATCTGTTATGAGAATCCATCCAATATTAATATGTTTTTCCTAGGATTACTGTGGGTATCCAGATTCATTTGTTATTGCTATAATGTTAGAATTTTTCTTTTTCTGTGAAAAATGTCATGACATTTTGTTTTGGATTACATTTAATCTATAAATTACATTGAATCAGATATTCATTTTCCAAAATTAATTCTACCAATCCATGAGTATAGGAAGACTTTCTATCTTCAAGTGTCTTTCTTGATTGTTCTTCACCTCCTTGGTTAGTTCTCTCTCTCTCTCTCTCTCTCTCTCTCTCTCTCTCTCTCTCATATATACATCAGCATATTTGCTATTGATGTATACAGAGGCTGCAGATAAAATACGGTACATTTGTGCAATGGAGTATTACTCAACTGTTAAAAACAAAGACACCAGGAAAATTGAAGACAAATGAACGGAATTTAAAAAACTCATGCTGAGTGAGGTATCCCAGACCGAGAAAGAAAAACATGGTTTTTATTCACTCATACTGGATATTAACTTTAAAATAAAGTGCAGGAATGCTACAATCCACAGCCCCAGGGAGTCTAGGTAGCAAGGAGGGTTCATGGCAAGGGGGGTGGGGCACATGGATCTTCCTGGGGAAAGGGAAATAGAGAAAATCTTCTGGTTGTGCTGGGGGTGATCAGGATCAGGTAAAAAACTGGAGCAAAGGAATCCCCCAGGATCTACAAGGAAGATCCCAGCTGAGACTCCTAGCAATAGCAGATATGTAGGCTGAACTGGCCATCTCCTGTAACCCGACGGGTGCCTAGGCCAATTGCCATCAGAGAGGCATCATCCAACAATTGATGGAAACAGATGGAGAGACCCACAGTGAAATATTAGACTGAGCTCAGGGAATCCTGCTGAAGTGATGGAGGAAGGATTTTAGGGGTCAGTCTGGTCAAGGACATCACAAGAAAACCCACAGAATCAACTAATCTGGGTCCATAGGGGCTCACAGAGACTGAACCAACTAGTATGCCTACATAAGACTTAGCTAGATAATCTCCATATACGTAACAGCTGTGTAGCTTGGTTCTCTTGTGGTGGTACTCCTAATAACAGGAGCAGGGACTTCTCCAACTCTTTTACTGGCTTTTGGGACCCTATTCATCATACTGAGTCACCTTGTCCAGTCTTAATACATGGGGAGGGGCTTAGTCTTTCTGAAAGTTTATATGCCATTTCTTGTTGACATGCCCTTTCCTAAACAGAGGAGGAGTGTATTGGGAAGTGAGAACAGGAGCCTAGAGGGATAGAGGGAGGGACTTGGAGGAGAAGAGGGAGGGGAAACTGCAGCCAAGATGCAAAAATCTTTGGATGAACTTACTGGTGAAGGCTTCTCAGTCAGTGGACACTTCTTGATACATGGCAAGTAGTGTGATTTTTTTCTGGGGAGACATAAACAAATATCCATTTATCCTAGATATAGTAGTTGCATCCAAGTCTAACTTAGTGTACCAATAAGTTTTTGGAGTTACTTAGGGAAGCATAGGTGAGTGATTATTTACAGGACTTTGGGAGCTCAAGGGCATCTTTACAATGGGGGCCCATCACATCATAGGTGAAATTTAACAAAAGGTCCATCTCCAGAGATTCTTATTCCAATTTGCAAGCAGCTCCAACAAAAAATTATGTATTACTTTTATGACTTTTGTTCAAGGCCTTGTGAATCTTGAAAATTTCTGAGCTTCCATAGTCTTGTAAATGTCTTAGCTTACTGAGCCTTATATGAATCCCTCCTCCCTGCAGGAGGGAGTGCCCGAACATCTAAGAAAATAATACAAAAGAAAAAAGAAAAAAACTAAGGTACCATTGTATCAGAAAAAGGATATACTATACTCTCCCAGTGATGAGCACTAATAAAATTGACATCTAGAAGCTTTGAAACAAAAAATTCTAAAATAATAACTATGGGGAAGTTTAACAACTTTCCCAAGAACTTAGAGAAACTTCAGTGAGATCAGGAAAACAAGAAAAGCACAAAATTTGTTTTAAATTTAGCAAACAGATAGGTATCATATAAAAATTCAAACAAATCACAGCACTGAAAACCACACAAAATAAACACCACAAGAAATTGTAAAAATTATAGGAGCTGGTTATTCATGTAAAATAATCTGTGAACTCAAAGACAAATCATTTGAAACATGGTATGTACTCTCTCATTTATGGAATTTAGACATAAATCTGGGGAGTGACAGCCTACAATCCTATGGCCAGAGAGTCTGGGGAACAGAACCTTCATCCAATGGCTGATGAAAGCAGAGGCAGACTCCCACAGCTAAACACTGAACTGAACTCAAGGAATCCAGTGACAGAGAGGGAGGACTGATGACAAAGGGGTTAAGACTGGGCTGATTTAACCCCCAGAAACAGCTGACATGACAAGGGTTAGCTCTTGAATCCCAGACTGATGGCTGGGAATCCAGCATGGGACTGATCAAGACTCCTGGAAGTGGGTGTCAGTGAGGAGGCCTTGGGTAGTAGATCAGTATTTATTCCTGGCATACAAATGGACTTTGGGTTCCCATCCAACAATGAGAGTTGCACTTTCATCCTGGGCTCTTGGGGGGAGGTTCTAGGCCCTGCCCTGGAAAAATGACTATGGACATTCCCATGGAGGGTGTCACCCTCCCTGGGGAAATGAGGGGCACTGTGGGGGTTGGTGAGAGTATGTGGGAGGAGGGGAGGGAAAGGGAGAGAGACCTGGGATTGACATGTGAAGCAACATTCTAATTTAAATTTAAATTTAAAATTTAAAAATTTTTAAAATGATGCTTTTATGACAAATGCTATCTAGTCCTCGGCTTTTCATTGTATGTGGTTCCAACTGGAAAGACATGAAAAGCCCATTGAAAGTACACTCTTATTTTAAACTATTCCGTGATACATCTCAGTTGGTAGAATAATAAGATAAAACTACAGCATAACTGTGCTACAGCAGACTTGCACATAATAAGCACTTTGTAGATGAGTAATTAGGTAGAAATTAGACAGCCAAAATATAATTATGAATTATTACATTCATGTATATGCTTTACTTAAAAAAACTAAAACTTGCCTGGCGGTGGTGGCACATGCCTTTAATCCCAGCACTCAGGAGGCAGAGGCAGGCGGATCTCTGTGAGTTTGAGGCTGGGCTGGACTGACAGCCTCGAAAACAATACAGAGAAACCCTGTCTCGTAAAACCAAAAAAAAAAAAAAACTAAAACTTTAAATATAAATCTGCTCTTACCACCACAACTAAGCCTCATCCTTATGATTGTCACCAATAGCATTGCTACTAAATGGTTAGCAGTTAAGGATTCTTATTACACTTGCAGAGGACCTGGATTCACTTCCCAGCACCCACACTAGGCAGCTCACACTAATCTGTAACTCCAGTTCTAGGGAATCTGATGCCATCTTCTGGCCTATTTGAGCACCTTCATGCATAGGGACACAGAAACTCACACAGGAGCACACACATACTCTTCATTAGAAATAGCCAGTCTTAACATAAGGGAACCTAGACTTACTGCAAACTAATATCCCATGTTTGTCTGATATCCCTGGGAGGTCTGCCCTTTTCTGCAGGGAAATGAAGGAGGCGTGAATCTGGGGGAAAAGGGAAGTAGGGAGAGGTCACTGGGAGGAGAGTGTGGAGGGCAAACTGCGGTCGGGATGTAATATATGGAAGAAGAATAAATGAGCTAAATGAATTAAATATAAAATCTTCTAAAAATCTTTATATTAGCTTGATGTGCATCTTTTCAGAACCTTTTCCATGAATTTAGAGATATTTAAATATGCCCACAAAATAGAAATCATTTATAGTCAATTATACGTGGATAGTCTTAGTTAGATGATCACAAAATCAGGTTAGAGGCATTTAATATCATGTGTGGATTGTTTTAAAATAATTTGTATATAAAACAGTTAATAAAATTCTGAAACTTTAACTCCCTATTTGGGGCACTTCTACTTTACTGCCTGTAGAGATACTGTATTCATTTATATGGCTGCTATAATCACCTTGTATGGTTTTGTTGTACAATATTTACTAATTTATAAACAGGCACTTGCCTCTATATAATTTCAATGCTTATACACATTTCATTATTTTACATTAATTTCTAACTGACAACAATTAAATAAAACACAAAATTTAGAGCTTGATAGATGGACCCATGGATAAGAGCACCATTTTGCTCTTCCAGAGAACCCGGGTTGATTCCCAGAATTCACACCTGTCACTAGCTTCATTTTCAGAGGATCTGAGAGGGTCTTCTAGCCCTATGAGTACAAAGCACACCCATGCCACACTTACATACATGCAGGCAAACACTCTCATTAAAATAATTTGTATAAAGAAACATAGTTTTAAATGTAAAATATGTTATAATAAGACACCATGTGATAGCTTGCACATGTATGTATTGTATATTACTTAAATTGTTTTTAACGTATCTATCTTTTTCTTCCATTTAGCAGATATTTAAGTGCATAGCCTGTAGTACAGTGGTGCAGTTGGAGGCCATGTGGATGTCCATAGTCCATGTTACCACTGAAAGCCGTGTGGATATCTGTGGGCTGTGCTGCCACCTAAACCCATGTTAATGCCCATGGAGTATGCTGCCACTGAGGGCCATGATGGTGTCCATGGTCCCTGCAGAGGTCCAGATCCTTGTTGATGTCCATGGTCTATACTGCTGCCAGAGACCCTGTTGAGGTTTGTGGACCATGCTACCATCAGAAGGTCATGTGAATGTCTGTGGTCTTTGCTGATGCCTGAAATCATATTGATGTCTGTGGGCCATCCTGCTGCCAGGGCCCGTGTTGGTGTTTATGGCCTGTGCTGCCGCTGAGGCCCATGATGGTGTCTATGGTCCATGCTATGGCCAAGGGACATGTTGTCGTCCATGATCTATACTGCCACTGGAGACCATGCTGAAGTCTGTGATCCATACTGACACTGGAGGCCATGTGGATATCTGCTGTGCACGGTGTCACCAGAAACCATGTGGAAGTCCATGTTCCTTGCTGCCACCAGCTGCTCTGGGCCAGACAGGAAGCTTCTTTTATAATAACATTGATGACTGCAGACTCACACTTGAGAATGAGAAGCATAGAAGGCTTTAGTGACAACCTCCCAACTCCACGTGCCTAAAAAGCAACAGTGTAGACAGGAAGCCATTGAAGAGAACTCTTAGAAATATTGATAGGGATGCTGAAGTGCAGATCTTCACAGTTGATGACTTCTGGTGGGGTGGCAGTGGGAAAGGACTCAGCTTCCTTAAGTAGGAGCAGCCTCTGCAAGGAATCACTCTTAAGGCCATAATATCTCTGGGGGTATGGGGGAGCTATGGTAGTCATCTATTGTACACCCTATCAACACCTATATTCAGACTCTGAATGAAGACTTTGACAGTTCTCTTTGAGCCTCACCCCAGCTAAGGGGACCTTTGCCATTTCCCTTTGGGTCAAAGGCTAGGGTCCTTGACAGGACCATGCACATATTAAGAATGCATGTTCACTGAGTACCTCCATTCCCCACAAAGCTTCACATGTTAAAGGTTCCAGTACTTACCAATAATTTCACAGGCTGACAATGAAGTCTTTATCACATGATTGTGCTCAGAGGGAGTCTCATACTCAAGTTCTGCCCATCTGATAATGCAAAATGCCTTTAGCCCTTCTCCAAAAGGTCCCCGAGTCTTAACTATTGCATGCTTGCTTAAAGATCTGTTTCATAGTCCTCCCAAAATCGAGGCATTCACAAACGCAAGTTTCTGTTAAAAACAAAACACAAGTTTTATATGTCCAAGACACAATAACACAGAATAAGCATCCTCAATCCAAAAGGGAAGAATAGGAAAATAAGGAGGAACTGAATCAAAGGCAGGGCCACAGGAAATGATGCAACCTATAGACCCTAAACCAACGTGTCTGTCACCCTCTATACTGGGTGACATGATATGAGCCCTAAAGAGCAGGGATAATGCCTCTCCCTCAGTCTTGCTTGCTGAAGCACACGCGGCCACTCTTGGACTGGCTTTGCTAGCTTCTTGAAGCTTCCCTCAGCAGATGAACCATCATCCTCGCTTCTCTTATCCTTGGGTTTCATTGAGTATTAGCCTTCATTCTCACAGCTTTACTCATCACCCTGTCTGGGTGGGCCAGAAATAAATGAGCATGCCACATATTGTCTGGCATTTCAATCCTCTTGGAAGCCTCCATGAAATCAAAGCTTCCAGATTGTGGGCTCTACAAAAGCAGCATGAGGTGAACGAATGACACTAAATTTTCCAACTGGCATGAGCTGTGTTTACAGAGGCCCACCTAACCTCAACTGCAGTGATCCACGTTCTCTGATGCCTGAACACTGGAATGTGATTCCTGAGAAGATAATTCCCAGGAGGACTTGGAAGAACTTCCTTCTTAATTGAAAGAGGATTCAGATATCATGAATATTGCTGTTTCTTATAGCTTTTTACCAAGAGAATCTGAAGCAAAACAGATCAGAGCAGCAGAAAAAAATCAGCAAACTTGCAATTTGACCAGATTTAAAAAAGAATCCATTAAAAATGCTATAAAGGAGTTTACAATTTCTAAAGAAAATAGCATCATGAAAATCTGTCAAGTGCTTTGCACTGGAGTAATAGAAAAGATGCCTGGGAAGATCCTGTTCATTACAGGCTCACTGGTATAATAAGTATTCGGAAAGAGCCCCTGAGGTGTCAAACAGAACAGTTCAGTAAAACCATAGAGTGTTGTAATTTTAAAAAGCAGCACTTGAGAGAAAGGTGTCTTGCAACAGAGCTTAAGTGGAAGAGTTTTTCAGTGGTGGAAAGTAAACAAAAAACGGGGAGGGGAGAGGAGAGACTGGCCTCTGGGGACAGGAGTGGCAGAAGAGAAGAGAGAGGCAGATAGAGAGGGAAAGAGAGAAAAGGAGAGACAGAGACAGGCAGAGAAGCAGAGACAGAGAGAAATAGAGGAAGATGGGAGGGGTACATGGCCATTTTTAAAATGGAATGCAGTGAATGAGCATAGGTGATGCTCTTAGGCTGCAGGTGAGGGCATATCCTGTCAGAACCCCAAGGACAGGCCAGTTTCAATATAAAAGAGTACTTAGGGAAACCACACAATCAGTAGTGTGCTTGAATTACAAGAGGACCTGAGGTCAATCCCCAAAACCTATTTTAAATAGTCAGGTGTGATTTGAGTGATGCTCTGACCTATGGATATAGCAATATGCCATCAGGAGTCACTTTATTGCTATGCTTCTTTAGCAGAATAATACTAGGAGGTTATTCCATAGAAATCATCTAGTCTCAAATTATTGGTCACTTTAGTGTTTTCAGGCATAGGTTCGCAGAGTGGGCCTTCAACAAAAAGTGTTTGGCTACTCCCATAACATTTGCACCACTATTGAACCGTATGTATTGCAGGCAGGTCGCTATTATAGGTCACAGGTTTATAGCTGGACAAATGATATTTTTCTCCTCTGGTAGCAGTAAAGTACCATCTAGAACCATGACTGCTAATCAGTGAGCATGAAGCTTCTAATTGTACACCAGCTCAATTTCTTCATGTTCAGTTGTGAAAGTAAACAGTGTCTTTAGGAATCAGACCTTACAATCAGGCTGTAGAAAATAGCCAATAGCATTGGCAATAGCCAATATTGCTAGCAGCATCTTTAGACCCCCCCCCCATGGCCAAAGGAGCATCAAGATATAGCCCATTCATGTCACTGGAGGTTTTACCCAGTGGCTTAAGATATCTCCTTGGGACCTTGTCCCCCTATGGTGGTGTGAATGAAAACGGCCATCATAGGCTCATCTATTTGAATGCTACCCAGTTGACAGACAATTGGAATAAGGAGGTATGACCTTGTTGCACTAGGTTGGGCCTAATAGGGGTGTATTTGGAGCTTGCAAAAACCCTACCAGTCTCAGCCTCTCCCTTCCTGCTGCCTGAGAATCAGTAGGTAAATGTCTCAGTTACTTCTTCAGTACCATGCCTGCCTGCCATCATACTCCTCATCATAATAGCGGACTAATCCTCTGAAACTATAAGCAAAGCCCTTAATTAAATGCCTTGTTTATAAGTTGCCTTGGTTATGTGTCTCTTTACAGCAATAGAACAGTAACTAAGATACCCCTACCCACAGTATTTGGTGACTCTATTCAGATTTCTTTCACATATATAAATATTTTACGATGCTCATACAGTAGCAGATTTCCATATGCTTCATTTAGTTTTTCACATTTTCCCTCCTCTACCCTGTCCTCCAGTCCCCCTCACCATATACTCCTACAATTTCAGTTTCCTTTTTATAAATAAAATATATTTACAACACAATAAATAAAATACATTTCCTTTTTGTAAATAAATAAATTTACAACACAATACTATATTTCTCCTTCCTTGAAAGAGACTTTCTTATGCCTTGGTCCCTTACTAGCTACCCAATTTCTGTGGTTATTTGCATGCAAACACATTATTTTAAGTTTCTTCTTGCCATAGACTGTGGTTAACACAGAGACTGACAACTGCACAATGCGCAGAGAGTGAGAGCCTTTGTACTTTCTGTCCTAGGTAGGATGTCTTAGCAAACACTCTCAGGGCTCAAGGGTCTGTGTGGAAGAGGAGGTGGAATGATTTTAATATACAGACATGGAGGATGCCTTCAAAGAAACAGTGTCCTTTGGACACAGGAGAACTGATACACATATGAACTCACAGAAGCTCTCACAGCACAAACAAGACCTTCACAGGTTCAAACCAGACAAAATCCCAACACAGAGAAGGGGAAGTGGGCCCGGATTCCTTCCCCTAGTCAAGAACCTATTTTAAATTCATACCTGCTGGGAAAGGAAAACAGTTTTCTCAAATGGCTTGCCATTGTGTATACCAACCATACTCCAGGGAAAGCTCCATGTCCTGAATTAGTGGTCAGTACAAAACTCCCTCCATGTTTTTTTTGTGTGTTTGTGCTATTTATTTTGTTTTGGTATTTTTGTCTCATTTATTTATTTGTTTTGATTTTCATTTTTTTGTTTTCCTTCTTTGATGGAGAGTGAGGAGGAGAGGTGAAAGGAACATGAATTTGGGTGGGTAGGGAGGTAGGGAGAATCTGGAAGGAGTTAGGGAAGGGAAAGAATATGATCAAAATGTCATATATAAAATTTTAAATAAAAGATCAATTAAAATATTATGTGCCACAAAAATGTCAGGTGCAACCTTGTAAATGCAGCTATGGGAAAGCAGAGAGAAGATTCTTGTGGCAAGTTGACAAACAGCTTTGCTTATATGGCTTATCATTTTTAATATTCTCACATTCATACTAGAATGCATCAAACTGTGAAAATATTGATTTTGTTGAAATATTATCAAGGTTTTAGTGATTTATGTTTTCTATACATTTTTCCTTTGATTTTATTTTACAAAAACAGAAATCAAAACCAATCCTCTATATTGAAACAGGACAGTGAAAGACCCTCTTCAAAATAAATAAGGTGTGTGACACCTGAGGATGACGCCCTAGCTATGACCACATGATATGTGTGTACATGCACTTGCACATACATGCACCTACGTGAACACGCACACACATGCGCTCACACAAAAATCTTAGTAGAGCAATAAACTGATTTAACTATTTGAATAAAGAAATAAGATGATTGTGGTGGCTCATGCCCTTAATTGCAGCACACAGGAGGCAGAGACAGGTGGATCTCAGTGAGTTCAAGGTCAGCCTGGTATACAAAATGAGTTTCAGGACAGTCAGGGCTATGAAGAAAGAGTCCTATCTCAAAAAACATAAGCTAAAAAAGAAGAAACAGAAAATATAATCATATTGGATCTTACTAGATCATACTCCACCTGAAATGCTAAATTCTTTGAGTATGAAGTTAGGAATGGATGGAAAACCATATCAACCTCCTCAAAGGAGTCAATGATTTTTCAGCCTAGCAACACAGAAGAAACAGAAAGGAAATAAGCTATTTATCCCCAACCAACTTAGAGAGCAGTGTACCTGGCAGCAATTTCCACAGTCCCCCATAAACGCAAGCCTAGGAACAACACAGAATCAAGGAAAGTACTCCTAGTGGACTTTGCGGCAGCGTCTGCATAGCAGATGCTGATGCTATTCTGATGACAGACACACCTCATAATTGACTTGAATTTTGCCATACCAAGGTCATGGTATATTTCTAAATAAGAACGGACAAAAAAAGCTGACTATATGAATAGAGTTTGTTTTGCCCAATTTAAGTTAACCTCGAACTGGCATTTTAAGCTTATTGTTCTCCTTCTCTATCTCCTTTGGGTATTTCCAGAATGTTTGATATTCTATTATATCAACATAAATGCAATACTTGTATTTTACTCACAGTGGACAAAGTAGCAATAAAAACAGTATGACTATCAACAAAATGGTTTCTGAAATGTTTTCATGATTCTTTTGCTATGCTGTTTGACATTAGGATATATGCCACTTGTTTGCTTATGAGAACACTCAGTCCATTTTAATTTGACTATGACATCAACATAATGCATTTTAAGTGCTTAATTTTATCTTCATATGTTCAAGTATTCCTTTGTAACATATTTATAATATTTACATGACTATAAGATGAATCTTTTTGGGCTTCAGAGATGTCCACTGGTTAAAAGCACCTCTAAAGGACTTGAGTTCAGGTCCCACTACTCATATGGTCTCTCAACACTATTTTTAGGTCCAATTCCAGGTGATCTGATGTTCTCTTCTGATCTTGGACACTGC